GGTGTCCTGTGTGGGTGTGGTTGACCCATGAGAGATGCCAGGGAACGGGGTCAGCAGCCCAGACTCGAGGACGAGGCCTCAGCCCGCACGGGTACCTATAGAGGTGCTCACGTTTGTGTTCAGTTCCTTTGGGATGGTTTCCTGCTTTTACCAACCTTTCTGTTAAGGTCCCTTCAGGTGAGAGAATCGTTCTCTCCGAGAAGCTCAGGCTGGCCCGCGTGTGCTGGTAGGCTCAGGGCTGGGGGCAGGCGTGCATGGGCAAGGCGGGGGAAGCGTACACCCAGGCACTCGGTAAGCGCGTGCCAGACGGGTGTGTGTGGGAGGAGCGTGCGGGCCGTCGTGAGCAGCGCCCTGTGGCTCCGCGGGCCTGGAGGCTGGGCCTGCCGATGGGTGCTGAGCTCTGCGTGCTGCGTGACTGGCAGCTCCGGGTCCTCCATGCAGGGCTGGTCCCAGCCCAGCCACTGCTCTGTGCACCCAGCCCTGCTGCTCGGGAGCTGTGTGTGCTGGGCCAGTGACCGAACCTCTCTGAGCTCTGTGCTCTCCGTTAGTAAACCGGCGTGTGTGTGCATGTGTGTGTAAATGCCCTCTTGCTGGTGGGTGTGAGGGCTGAGGTCATGAAGAGGAGCTGCTCAGCTCGGTGTCAGCTGCTCGTGAGCCAGACCTGCTGACGCGGCTGCTGAGACCATGAGCGCAGTGGATCTTCCCATCAGGGAGACGGCAGCAGTGGACCCCAAGCCGGCTGGGAGTGCCTGCCCATCCTGCCAGGCCTGCCCTTAAGCCTTTGGTCTTGCTTCCCTCTTGCCCCTCGGGCCCGGTGGGAATGGTTACTTGTGCACGCGGCCAACCATCCTGGGGGGCTGTTTCGGTCTCGCTGGCTGGGACCATGCACCCACATGTTTGGTGAACCCGGGGAGGCCACACCCGGAGCTGTGATGTGTTCATTTGGGGTCGTCTTTGTAGGCACAGCTCTGTCCACGCAGGGAAAACGAGGTGCAGGACTTGGAAAAATTCTCAAAAACTCTTTGTGATGAATGTTAAGGTGTAGGGTGCACTGTTTGCAGGGTGGGGGGCCGACAGCCCCCGGGGAACGCGAGGGCCTGCTCAGCACACCCGTCCGGCAGCTCTCTTGACCTCGGCTGGCCCCATGCTCCACGTCCGGGGCCACGCATCGCAAGGGCTGCCACCACGGGATGCCCCGCCCGCCCGCGGAGACCACTGCGGCCCTGAGAGCTGCTGGAGACCGTTAGGCCTGGCTGGAAAGTGCGGTTGGTCACCTGGCCCATGTGGGATGCACTCAGAGGACGTCAGTGCGTCGTCCAGGCTGCCAAGGACATGACTGACCCTTGCCGCCTCTTGTATTTGGAGTTGGGGGCTGGGAGGGGGACCCTGTCTGCGTTGTCTGCCGGTCCTGGACCCTCCTGTTGCAGGGACCCTACTCCCAGTGACCCAAATCCGTTCTTCCCAGTACCGCAAGCCTTTCAGAGGTTCCTCATCACCGTCGGCTGAAGGCTGTGCTCTGAACCTGGCCTTCGAGGTCCCGTGGGCTCAGCCGTGTTGCAGGCCTGCTTGGCCTCTCTCAATTCTTCAGACACTGTCTTCCCCCCAGGCCCTGCCTCAGGCCATCCCTCTGCTGGGCAGGTTGTCTCTCCTGGGGAGTCCTGGCCTTGCTCTGCCCCCCACCCTGAGCTTCTCCACAGCCATCCTATCGCTGGTACTCATATTTCTCTGTGCCCTGGCCTGTGGCCCCACCTCCCACGTGAGCCCGTGTGTCCCTGTGTGTCCCCAGCACCTCGTGCAGCGCCGGACGTGTGCTGGGTGGCTCAGCGTACACAGGGAGGGACTGATGGGTGCGGTCTCTGCCCGGAAACCCACAGCAAATGGTAGGCTCTTATATATAAATGTGTGCTGCTTGGGGGCACCTGGGTGGCTCAGTCGTTAAGCGTCTGCCTTCGGCTCAGGTCATGATCCCAGGGTCCTGGGATCAAGCCCCACATCGGGCTCCCTGCTGAGTGGGGAGCCTGCTTCTCTCTCTCTCTCTGTCTCTCATGAATAAATAAATAAAATCTTTAAAAAAATAAAAAATAAAAAAAATGTGTGCTCCTTGGAAGCACATGAGACCCAGACAGAAATATCATAGAATGCCAGTGTTCATCTGGTAAAGTATTTTCTCTCCCAGTGCATGGACAGCATGCTTGGCATGACCCTCAGGATTGATGTTATGAGTCCTTGACTTGACTTTGTGACCTCTGCTGGGATCGCCACCCACACTTGAGAAGCACACTCTGGAGGACCGCCCCGGCCGTGCAGCCTGGCATCGTCCTAATCACCTGTGTGCCCTCCCGTGCCCTCCACGCAGGATGGGGCTGAGGGTGCCCACAGACCAGAGCTGGCCACTCGCTGCCATCGGGGAGGGGGGCGGCGGGGGGGTCTCACACACGAGGCCGTGGGGTGCCGTTGAGGGCCGAGCCAGTGGTCACTGCCCTCCCTGGGTGCACGGAGATGTGGAGGCGCAGGCTCTGCAGGATGGCGGGTTTTGACTTGGGTCTTGAAGCACAAGGCGGGACCTGCAGAAGCGGGGGCAGGAGCGAGGCAGCTCGTGCAAGGCAGTGGCTGTGAGAACAGGGTTTCCCGAGTCCCCAGGTCCGCGTGCCAGGAGCTCGGGCGCTGAGCAGAGGTGGTGCAGGGGGCGGGGGCTGGATGCAGGGTCTGCGTGTTGGGCGTGGGGCACCAGCCCGGCTGCCCCTGCCTGGAGGTTCACTGCTGAGATGATTTCCACTCCGATGGGGTTTTTGAGGTAGGACACGCTGTCGTAGATGTTGCCGTACGTGTCTCGAAGCAGAAGGATGGTGCACTCGTTTGTCCACGTGCGGTGGACGGGCAGTGGCCTTTGTGACCACATTCCCGCGTCACTCTGGCGGCGCTGAAACTACTTTAACGGTAGACGTGAGGTTCCAGACTTGCATGCCGGCCGGGCCTTGTGCAGGGATGAGGAAGGGTCTCCCGCGGCTACGGGGCTCTGTTTGCTCCAGCTGTTGCAGCAAATCACCCCAAATGAGAGCTTGAAAGCAACACAAATTCATTCTCCCACACTTGGAGCCAGAAGTCCAAAATCAGTGCCTGGGGCTACAGTCCAGGTGTTGGCCTGCTGGTTGCTCCCCGAGCCCCGGGGGGCCCTTGTGGCCACCTCCCGCTCCTGGTGGCTGTGGCACAGCTCCCTGTCGTGAGGACGCCATGAGGCTCCCTGTCTCCAGGCCCCTCGTCTCATCTACAGGCCCCTTCCGGTTATTTCTCCTTTTTATCACTTCCGAGAATGTTTCCTGATGGGCTTGTCTATCCTAAGAACTGATCTGTTATCAGGGGCGGGGTGGGCCTCCCCTCTGTTGGGGACGTGGGCTGTGTCTGTCGGACACGTTGGGCATCGTAGATGTAGGTGGAGAAACTGATCTGAAATACGTACATTTGGAAACAGCTGTTGTGAATTACATCGATTGCCGGTGTTCAGACAGTTGGGGCTGAACGTGCCAGTTGGGATGCAGCGGCGGGAACGTCACGGGATTGCTGGTTTCCCTGCGGCCTTTGGTCTAGAGCACTTCAATACGGTTCAAACCAGGCAAAAACCATCTGCTTGGCAAACACACCAGCATTGAGGAATGACCGTTGTCCGTGAGGGTGTGGTCGGTCTGCCTCCCACGGACCTGCGCCCCACTCTGTCCCCCGCTCCGCATCCACCTCAGGGAACTCCACACGACACACGTTTCTCCCTGCTCCTCATTTCAACCACGTCCCCGAGGTGTAACTTACCTGCAGGAAACTCACGCGTGTTCGGTGTATAGGCTGATGAACGTCCGAAACCGAACGTGGTCATATAAACGCCTCTAACCGAGACACCGAGCGTTTCCATCCCCCTGCGGCCGACTGCTCCCCTCGCCCCGGCCGCCACTGGCCTGCCCTCTGTGGCTGCCACTTTGTGAACGTGGCCATGCTGTGTGTGGTCCTTCGTGGTTGTCTTCTAGAGAATCATTATCTTCGTGGCCCCTTTGGGCTGACGAGTGTTTCATGGTTCATTCCCTTTCTTTGCTGAACAGCGTGCGGTGTGCGTGGACATGTCCCAGCTGGGCCACCCACTCCCACTCACGGGGACACGTTTGTGGCTGTGAGGAGTCAGGCAGCTGTGACTGTCCATGTGCAGGCCCCGCATGCACACACGTGTTCTCATTTCTGCGGGTAAACCCTGGGCTGTGCAGCCTCAGCTGTGTGGGCTGCCACGTGGTCTGTGCGTCCTGGGTCCTGCCGCAGCCTGCACACCCGCCTCCTCCCCCTGCCCTTCATGGAGGCAGTGGGGTCCTGTGTCCGGTGTTCACAGCCTTGCCACACGTGCAGGCACAGCCTCTGTGGCCACTGTTCCCATGAAGGTTTGAAACACTGTCACATTGCACACATCATTGTCCCATTTTCTTCATTCAGCGGTGGATGCGGAGCGGTGGGACGGAGTGGAGCACAGTCCATTGCACGGGGGCTGTGGCTGGTGTGTTCATGGGGCAGGACTGTGTCTCAGGCTCGGTGGCTCCCGTGCTGGAGTCCTGGCCAGCACACGGTGGGCTCTAGTGACGTGTGAATGGACAGATTCACTTACATGGCGCCGTGGTGCTTGATCCATCACACCTGTTCTCCCGTTGATGGGTGTTCAGCCGCCACGTTCACTTGGGTCCCGCGTGAACAGCACAGCGGTGGGTACTCTCCTCCATGTCTTGTGCCCACACCCAGGAGTTCATTTGGAACATGCAGGGTCTTGGGGTGGGGCCCCCTTCACCTGAACTGGTGTTGCTGATGGCCCCCCGTGTGACTCCCGCCCGCAGCGCCAACCAGCATCCGTCTCCACTCCCTCCCCGACATTCAACATTCGATGTTACCGTATCTGTTAATTTTTGCCAGTCCTGTATATGTGAAGTTACATTTTATTTTACAGTGTTTTAAATAACTCATTTCATTTCTCCTAACAGAAATTCAATGTCATCTTTCCGTCCTGGGAGAGGACACGGTGACAGTCGGAAGAGTGTGTTTTACACCAGTGAAGAGTGGGAGCTCTTAGACCCAAACCCTAAGGACCTGGAGGAGTCCATGGCGCAGGAGGAGAGGAAGAAGCTGGCCCCCGAGGGAAACAAAGGTACGGACATGGCTCCTGCCACCGTCCCGCTCTCTGCGGCCCCCGCGGTACCAGGCTTTTCTGGAAGCAGGAGGCACACTGGGGCTTGTGCCCTCTCTGTGGGCGATGACCCCAGAGGGCATGTGAGATGAGGCATTACAAGAAACGACCATCCAGCTGGTGCCTCGTAAGCTTTTTCGGGAGATAGAGCATCTAGAAGTCACAGTGCTCTTTACAGATATATGGATTTTTTAAAAACCCTTCTATTTACAGAAATCTGGAACGTACGTAAAGTAGAATGTACAGGGTCACGGATTCCAGTGTAACCTCAAGCGGCTCCCACGGTTTCGAACTTAGGGCCACTCTGTTCCTCCAAGCTTCCACCCCTTCCTGCATTCCGTGTTGGTGGAGTTGTTTTAAAGTAGATTCTAGTCATCGATCCATTGCATCTAAATTTTTTATTTCGTACATATCTGTAAGAGATAACGACTCATGTTAAAACCTCACGGTGGCTTCGTTATTCTACCTAGAGACAGCGGCAGTAAATCTAATAATCGAAGCCCGCTCTGGTTCCACAGCTGTGTGCGCACGCCCTGGTCATGTGAGGCACTGACGAGGTCTGCGGGCGGTTTCCTTGCTGGTCTGCACTGGCCTCTCTGCCCCTGACAGCTCCCTGTCCTTATCCTCCCTTTGCCTTGGTGTGCGTGTGGCCAAGATGGTCTCCGCGCCGAGGATTTCCCACGCTCTGGAGTCCGGGCCCCTTCTTGCTCCTCGTGTGCCCCATGTGTGGTCGTGGGCCGAGGCCTGGCCAGATGCAGGGCTGACTTCATCAGACGAGGATGCTCTGTGGTCGGGGCCTGGGGCTGTGCGTCCTCTGGCACCACGGCTGGAACCACGTCGTGTCTGGTCCCCGCTGGTTTTGGGGAGGGTCAGGGTTCACTTGTCGTCAGCCTGACCCCGTCTGTACGGCCACTCCTGATGCTCGTCTGGGGATCCACGAGGGAATATTGATGTCTTAATGTAAAAGGACAGTAATTTTGAAATTCTGCCTTGTGCTCGAGTCAAGCATGGGCTGACAGGAGGAGGCAGGATCGCAGGAAGTCTATTGGGAGGGCAAGTATTTACTAAAGGAAGTACTTCTGTGCCCCGGGAGGAGGGCCCTGACTGGCTCTGCAGGGGGGCTTGCCTGTGTTCTCAGGGTTGTAGCGTGGGACCTGCAGTCCCGTGTGACGCGGGCCTGGCTTGCTGCGCTCCCCGGTCAGGGCCCGCGGGAGCGCCTCCTGAGCAAGGGGGACTTGGGTTCTGGAGGAGGAACTGCGAGCTCAGGAAGGAAGGGTCTGCAAGGCTGAGCGGCTTGTGTGGGCCGGAAACTCCCCAGGCCAGACAACGCAGCCCCCCATGGGGTCTGCGGACTCTGATAGCGCAGGGTTGTGGACCCTTCCTGTACCAGCCGCGGGTGTCAGCCCCCCAGCTTGTCCCTGTTGTGCAGGGGGCGTGAACTGCTCTCCCTTCTCTCTGTTCCCCTGTGTTTAAGTGCACAAAGTCCCCCCGCATCCATCAGAAATGTGAAGGCGACGGGTTGTCACAACGAACACAGCCACGTAGGCAGCACTTACTTCAAGAAACAGGACGGGGCCAGCCCTGTCCCCCCAGCCCCTCCAGTCACCCACCCCTCCCAGGGCAGCCACTGTCCCGACTTAAGAGCTTCATGGAATCCATATACTGTGTTCTAGTTCACGTTGCCTCCTCATAGTTTGAGTATAAATCTGAATCCATCTGTACTAACATTTATTTGGATCCATCGGTATTTTAAAGGCCCATTTTTAAGGAAGAGAAGGTAGTCATGCTTTAAAACACTTGTTCACAACGAAGAAGACATACGTTTAGGGCAGGGCTTTGTTTTGTTTTCTGAGAACAGATGAGCGAAGGGAGCCAAGGATCCCTGTGTCCGTGAGTCCCGCCCGGGAGCCTGTTGTCTGACTGCAGGCGGGGCCTTGGGGAAGGGGCTCTGTGTTGCTGGGACACTGTGGGCACTTGGAACCACTGTGCTCTTCCTCGGCCTGTGTCTCTGTCCCCTTTGGTCCTGAAAGTGGCAGAAATGGGAAATTGGTGAGGAGACCTGAGCTTCTGGAAAAGAGACGGCATCCCAGATGAGTCTTGAGCGAGGTGTCCCGTGGCCTTGTCCCAAATTCCTCATCTGTGCCAGTGCACTCCGCCCATTTTCCCCGCTCCTAAGGCAGACGTTGAGCAATCACAGCCAGACTGTCTTCTTGAAAAGGGACCACGTGACAAGTCTAAGGAAGGATCCCGGGGGGGGGGGGCGCGGGGGGATCGACTTTAAGTCAGGGCTTGGTTTTCATCAAGAGTGAGCCGGGGCCCAGAGGCGTCCCGGCCCCTGCCCATGCTCTCTGCGTGGTGAACGCAGAACTTCCCCTGAGGATGGCGGGTGGGAGTTTCCAGAAGGATGACTTGTCCTGCACTTAGAAAACAAGTTTTGTTTTTGTATGTAGGAGTAACTGGCTCAGGATTTCCCTTTGATTTTGGACGTATTCCCTACAAAGGAAAGCGTCCTTTGAAAGACATGATCGGATCGTACAAAAACCGCCACGTCAGCGGTGACCCTTCGGCGGAGGGGGCACAGAGCACTGGCGGCGTCAGCAAGCCTGCATCTGAGATGCAGCTGCAGGTCCAGAGCCAGCAGGAAGAGCTGGACCGGCTGAAGAAAGACCTGTCCAGCCAGAAGGTAACCGTCCTTCTCACCCGCGTGCGTCCCCCCGGCAGCCGGCCGGCCGCGGGAGCACAGCCCGGGCCTCTGAGTATCTTCGTCCCCAGAAGGGCTTTTCCCCGAAGCGTTTGATGGAGGCGCCCGCGCCCCACTAGGTCACTTCTTCAGGGACGTTTGGATTTCCAGGGGGTGTGGGGACGCCGCCAGTGGGTCAGGGGAGGGTCTCGGCCGCTGTGCCCACTCCCACCCCAGCACGGCATCAGCCGAATCTGTTAACAGGAGGGAAAGGAGTTCCCACGTGGTGTCCATTTCCCTCTGAGCCCGAGGACACCCCGTCGTTGGGCAGGTCGGAACTGACGGAGCTCCCGTCCCGTGCACAGATACGCGTGTGCTGGGGCCGCGGCGGACGGCACTGTGTGCGTCCACGGTTTCCTGTTTCCTGGCATTGTTCTCTGTAGACGGGCTTAACGGAGTGCATGTTTCTTCCTCTCACTTCCGAGACCCTGCAAGAGGAAGTCCGGTGTGAGCGTGTCTCGGCCCCGCGTTGTTCCGTGTCGCGTTGTCACAGTCTGCTTCTCTCCTCCCCGCTCCCTCCTCTGCTGCAGGAGCTGGTGCGGCTACTGCAGCACACGGTCCGGTCCTCCCAGTATGACAAGTACTTCGCCAGCAGCCGGCTCTCTGAGGGGGTCCCAAAGGACACGCTTGACCTTCTGCACCGCAAGGATGACCAGATCCTGGGCCTCAGCAGCCAGCTGGAGCGGCTCTCCCTGGAGAGAGAGAGTCTGCAGCAGGAAGCCAGGACGCTCAAGAGCAAGGTGGGCGAGCTCAGCGAGCAGCTGGGGATGCTGGTGGAGACCATCCAGGCCAAGGACGAGGTCATCATGAAGCTCTCGCGCCAGCTCAGCGAGGGCGCAGACCACACACCCTCTGCTGCAGGGGTGCCCGGCTCCCCCACCTCCCCCAGCAGGGAGCACCTAGAGCTGGACAGGCTGAAAGTAAGTGGAGCGTGGGCTCGGTGGGGTTCAGACAGCGTGGCAGATGGAGCAGACAGAGCAGGACTTGTAGGCAAACGATGGGTAGTTCGCTAAGAAGCATCCTTGGAAAACCAAAGTGTGAGTCCAGCAATGCCGTTGCTCAGAGTGGTTCTGGAACTTTCCCTCCCTTGCTCTCAGGCAACTGAGCCTCCCCTTTCTGCTCTGGACCCCTAGAGCTTCGTTACCCCACGTAGCCCAGGGGGCCCTGTCTGCCCCCGTGCATGAGTGTCCAGGCCAGCACCGCACACACGGCCTGCCTCAGCCCTCTGGGGGTAGGGCGAGCCGAGGGAGCATCGTTCCCGACGGCTGGTATGGGGTTGGCTCCCAGGTAGGCTTGCTCAGAATCGGGGCCCCTGCACCCAGGCTGGGAGGGTCCTGGCGCTGAGGACAGGGGGGCTGCTTCCTGAACTCGTGACTGTCCGGGTTGTAACTGAGGTGGGGAAGGGCCATGTCCCTGGCCATGAAGCTGCAGAGAGGCGCTGAGTGTGGCCCAGCCCACTCCAGGCAGGTCTGTAGCCCCAGGCAGCACCCAGCCCTAACATGCTCCTCGCCTGGCTACCCTCTTTGCGTAAATACCTCGGCACCAGGGGTGTTTGGCTCCCAAGGGCAGGTTATCCTTGAAGGCAGAGATTTGCCACGTTGAGCTTATTAGTGAGCACCTACTGCATGCCCAGCAGTACCTCTCTGGCTTGTCAGTGGAGAGCTGAGTGGGGGGTCGGAGTCCTCAGAATTTGGAACAGAAGTGAACACTGGGCTGACGGCAGCATCGTCGGGACGTGCACATGGCCTCCGTAGTGACCAGTTCTCAGTGACGCGTGTGCACGTGTGAGTCCAGAAGGGCGACAGCACCAGAGCTTCCCACCCCATTCCTCTGTGATTTGACCACAATCACAGCCGTGGTTGCACAAACCATCATGGTCGGTGTGGCTGGTAAGACTCGGCTCTGCTCGTATTCGCAGTAGAGAACGCACCCGACCTGGACGTCACCGCATCGGCGACGCGCGTTTGACCATGGCTTACTTAACATCAACTGAAATTGGTATCTGGCGAGCATGCCTGTTTTGCAGTGTTTGGTTGCAGGCCTCATGAGCAAGCTTGGCGGGGACGCGCGGGAGCTGAACCAGGGCGTGTGTGGGAGCGAGCGGCTTGTCTCTGGTCCACATGGCTCCCTGTGAAGACAGCAGACAGACTTGATCAGAATTAGACGTCCCCCCCCTTATTCACCCTTTAGATCTTGTGGCAAGATGGGTGAGGTGGTTTTGAATCATTTGGTGATTTCATGACTTTTTTCCCCCAACATTTCTCACAGTTTTTAAGGACTGTGGCTCTGAAATCCCACCGTGGTCAGGTGACGTGTGACAGAGCTCATGGAGGTGGCAGCTGTTCAGGAGCCGGCGTGTGGCTGTGGGCTTCAAGTGGGCCAGCCGGCCGCCCTGAGATTTTTGCCGCCGCCAGCGCCAGATGCCTGCTCCCACCACAGGCTCCTGCAGCAGCTCCACAGGAATTGAAAGCAGGCTTGCGGGCGGGGGGCTGTGGACAGAAGTAGGGTTTTGCCACATGTGTCCTCGGTGCCCCCCACTTCTCGCAGCTGCATGGTTTCCGTACTGATTTCTTGCCTTGACCCCGAATTCGGAATGCCTCCGTGGGGGACACTGTGTGTTACCGGGGGGGGGTCTCGTCCGTCACTGTCACGACCCACTTTCTCCAACTCTGGTCAGTGTGTGTGGCCTGTTTGGAATTTGCTGACATTTCTCATTGCCTCTGGGACAGGGTCACTTTCTGTTTCTGGGGTATTTTGAGGAAGGAACACACATTGGTCGTAGGATTTTACCAGTGTAAGTACTTTACTGTTTTTGTACTTCCTTCCCGGCCTTTCCATGGCTCTGTGATTCTTCCTTGCTTGGCGTAGGTGGCCGTCTGCTTCGCTGGGCACGGTCGAGGCTGCTGTCGGGTCGCCGTCCCCACCTACCTGTGCGGCTGGTCTTCCTGAGACTTGCTCTTTGGCGCGGGCCTCCATGCCAGCAGCTTTTCCTTGTCTGGACTCTGGCATGCGCTCAGCCGTGTGCCAGGCTTTGTGCTGTGCTGGGAGCGCAAGCCTCTCCAGGAGTGCCCGGCGTAGTTAGCACAAAACAGACCACGTCACGACCGTAGGGAGCACGGGGAGGAGCTCAGACCTACCCAGCTTTGCCGCTCACGAACCCCACCTGGGGGTCGGGTCCCTTCCTGCCCCAGCGCGTTCATGTGTGAACCAGCCCTCCCCTGGTGGGGTCTGGCGCTTGTAGGGGCTCCACTTGTGTTCTCGTCATCGTCAGCGTAGGGAGACTCCTCACGATGAGCAGTCACACGGAACATAACCGGAGGAGGACCCGCTTACTCTGCTCTCCCACCATCACCCAGCCGCCCGCATCCCCCGCCCTCCTTCCGTCGGCCTCCTTCTTGTTACGTGTGTGTTGGCGCTGCCAGAGAGCTTTCAGTCACCGGGAGAGGGGAGGACGGAGAGCGGGGGGTCCAGGCTGCTGTGGGGTTGGGCTTGGGTGTGTCACGGGCCTGTCGTGACATGCAGTCCTGCTGACACAGGAGGCGTGAGCGTATGTCGGGCGCGGTCAGTGGCCCAGAGCCTGGTGGCCCGGCTCTCAGAGAAACACGGGGACGGCGGCCCGAGGGCTCTCACTCATGGAGACGTCAGGAGTCTCACGTGGACCCTGTAGCCTGTAGCGCGAGCTTCACAAGTGTTAGTGACCAAAGGGGCTGTGGAAACGTTACAGTCCCTCTACGTTTTAGGGTGATTGTGGGCCCCCATCCTCACGGTGGCGTCCAGCCTGGAGACAGGGACGTGTCTCAAGGAATGGCCATGGCCTCCGTCCCGTGAAGGGTGGACATTCCCGGCCGGTCCAGGAATTGCCCAGTGACCCAGGGGCCAGTGCAGCCCCGGGAACCCCGCAGAGCGGGGGGTGCATGTGGGTGGAGGACTGTGCTTGGCCAAGCGCGTTTGTCCCAGACGCTTGCCCTCCTCGCGGGCTTTCACAGGCCGCAGCCGATCCTGTCGCCGCACTTGGCAGAACTTGTCACCGGCCTGTGAGGCTGTCCTACGTCCCACGGCAGGTGCAGCAAACGTTAACAGCTGGTGAATTTTAGGCGGAGGGCGTATCAGATTCCTTGTGCTTTCCTGTCAGCTTTTCCAGAGTTCAAAATGTTTTTTGTTTTGTTTTTTTAAAGATTATATTTATTTATTAGAGAGAGAGAGATAGCAAGAGAGGGAACACAAGCAGGGGGAGTGGGAGAGGGAGAAGCAGGCTTCCCGCCGAGCAGGGAGCCTGATGTGGGACTCGATCCCAGGATCCTGGGATCATGACCTGAGCCGAAGGCAGACGCTTAACGACTGAGCCACTGTTTCAACACACAAATGGGAGGAACGTGCTTCCTGGAGCACGTCGTCCACTGCAGGTGGCAGGTGGGGTTCTGTAGTCGAGCGCCGTGTGTGCGCGAGGCCTTCCCTCCACCCTGAGTGACTGACAAGAACCCACAGAGAACGTGTTGTTTCTCGAGCTACAGAAGAAACTATCACGAGGGTTTGCTTTGTGCCACGTCAGTGAGTGCAGGGACACAACACTCGCAGCGTGAGGATGTAATTCTGCTTGTTCCTTTGGCGCCCCAAGGCTGGTGGCGGAGTCGTCTCCATCAGGAAGTGCCCGGCGGTCGGTTCTCGAAGCTCGCGCTAACTTGGGCTCTTTGCGGAGATGGTGATATATTAACAGAGAGAGACTGGTGAGAACTGATGGCTTTTTTTTCCCAACAGGATAACCTACAGGGGTACAAAACCCAGAATAAGTTCCTAAATAAGGAGATTTTGGAGCTTTCGGCACTGCGGAGAAACGCGGAAAGGAGGGAGCGGGACCTGATGGCCAAGGTGGGTCAGGGTGCGGCTGTTTCCTGGCGGCTGGGGACACCGAAGCCTTTAGAAGTGGGCACGTCGTAAATTAGCCCTGCCCCCACAGTGGGGGCGCAAGGTCACTGAACCCGAAATACAGGGTGCAGAGTGCTGCGTATTCAGTGTCACTGTGTCTGAGATGGAGACGAGTAGAGGTGCCCTGATGTGTCTTCATCCGCACGCATCACGGGGTTTACGGAAAACCGTTCACTCTGATGCTCAGGTTCCCCAACAAAGGGGGTTTGGATTGTGATTTTGTTCCGTTGAGTTGCGTGGACTGGTTTCCCCTCTATAACGGGGACGCTGGGAACCCGTCAGTTGCCGGTCGGCATTTTGGCCGGAATAGCAGTGCCAGCACGGCCGCTGCCACCCGGTGGTGTCCGATGGCGCTTGTGGTCCCCGCTGTGTGTGCTCTGTGTACCTCTGGAACCCAGCTCCCCGCGTCCTCCCGGACCTGCATCCGCGTGGCCCCAGGGTGTGCCTGATGAGGCGGCAGATGGGAGCTGGTCCTGAGGCACGGCGTCCTGGGAAATGTCAGTGCCATGTGGGCGCCTGCTCACAGCCCACGTGCTGGGTGACACTCAGCATGACTGCAGGGACAGCCACGTGGTCCTGTTCCTGCCGCTGCCTTCAGCCGTGCGGGAGTGATGCAGGTGTCGCTGGGCCAGCGCCCCAGCAGGAGGGGGCCCGGGGCAGCTGCTGTGGACATGGCAGGTGGCCTGGGGCGACATGAATCTGCTGTCCTGTGTACAGTCCCTGGCTCACCTCCCCATAGCCGGTGCTTGTCGTTCGTCAGCTGGTCGAGGCACCGAGGGTTGCCGATGCTGCGCCCTGGTCAGGACGGAGGTGACGTCCCTGTTCTCTGTAGTATTCCAGCCTGGAAGCCAAGCTGTGCCAGATAGAAAGCAAGTACCTGATCCTGCTCCAAGAGATGAAGACGCCGGTTTGCTCGGAAGAACAGGGGCCTTCTCGCGACGTCATAGCTCAGCTGCTGGAGGACGCCCTGCAGGTTGAGGGCCCGGAGCAGGCATTCGTGAAGCCTCATCTTGTCAGGTAAGGGCACCAGCAACTGTCATGGGCGGTGGGACCTGTTTCAACGACGGTCGTCGCTCACAGAGGACCAGATGCAAGTGTGTGTCCCGTTGTGTGCCCGTCATCAGAATGGATGCTCTCGGCGTTCTTGCCGTCGTAAGCGCGCAGCAGAGCCAGGCTCAGGCCAGGTTGTTGAGTTCAGGACCTCCCTCCCAAGCGCATCAGGGTCCACGGTTCCAGCAGCAGCTCCGGTCCTGCTGGGAGCCAGTCCCCCAAAGAGTAGGAGCCCCGTCCTGAGACACAGTTGCTCCCACACGTGGTTCAAGAGCAGAGAGGCCCCCACGTGGGGAGAAGGTTTAGCTAGCCTGGCACAGTAGCTTGGCACCCCTCAAGGGTCTGACTCACGCCGCGGACGCACACACTCCAGCAGGACCTGCCGTTTCAGCTTGCAGCACGTGAGCCTCGCCCCTGTTGCAGAGCGCTCCCTGAGGCCTGTGTGCCAGGAGCTGCGCCAAGGGCTCTACCCACTAGCGCATGTTAGTGCTCCGCAGACGGGGAGGGACACACAGTCCCCGAGTCGTGGGGACAGGACCCCAGCCTGGGTGGCCGGCTTCCACGCTGCGCTCTCCACGGGTCCGCGGGCTGCAGGGCTGCTCGTGAGGGCCTGTCTTCCTCCCTCGGGCACCTCTGGGCTCGTTCTGTTTGTGTTGTTTCCAAACCTTGTGTGTAAGCAGAACGACAGCTGTGCGTATTGATGTATTTCTGACTTGTGGAAAATTTCAAGCCTGCAGCATAGAGTCACATGACGACCCCCCCAGGCGACCCTTCTGTAATTACTGTCAGTCTGGTTGCACCTTCTCCTCCCCGCCCCCAGGGATTTTTCTGGAATACTTCACAGCAAATACCAGACATTGTGTCCTTCCACATTACGACGCGTCAGTGTGCGTTTCTAAGTCCTCACTGGCGACACCTTCTAAGACACGAATCCCACCATACTCGCAACTTCTCAACGTTACTTCCTGGAATCTTCCAGGTGGATCCGTGTGGCCCCCGAGCTGCGTTTCGTGGGCCTCATGCCCCCTCCGCTGTCGGAGGCGCCCGAACCTCGGTGTTTCTGCTCCTTCCCCTCGTGGTGGACACGCAGGGTCCTTCCACGTCCCCTTGTGACAGATGAGGCACGGCAAACATAGGGATTCGGGTTTCCACGTGCCCGTGGGGGGGGGGGGCTCCTCCAGGGTATAGACAAGAAGCAGGATCCCTGGCCTGCAGGGAACACGTCTCTCCAGCCCCACTAGGTTGGCACAGGTCACACCCTCGGCAGCAGGTGCGAAAGGCCCCGTGTCGGTCTGACCTCACGGGTTGTCACAGACGTGGCCGCTTACACACCACCCGTTTGCTGTCTGAGCTTGTGTGGGCCAGCTGTCCGGCGGGCCTCTCTGGATATTCCAGGTGTCACGGGCACCGTGTGTCCTCACGTACTCGAGCTGTGCCCTGGGGTTGTAGAGCGAGGACTCCGTTTCCACGCTGGCTGTCGGGGTGGTCTTCCCTGCTTCTGGAGGCCACAGGCCTCCTCCTCCGTTCCTCGGCCAGCAGCAGTGGGCCCTGTGGTCCGCACGTCCGCGGTCCTGCCCTGCTCTTCCACCATGAAGGGTCCTGTGTGCCCACGGGCCCCCAGCGGTCCGGGGCGGCCTCCCTGTGCCAGCTGAGTCAGCGTGACGCCGTGTGCCTCTGCCATACGATGTGGCTAGCCACAGGTGTGAGTGGCCACGCCTGGACGTCCTTGGGGCCATGGTCCTGCTCCCACACCCACATTGTCTTCATCCCTAACATCTACGCAAATACTTTTTCCCTCGCCTTTCCACGTTTTAAAATGACATTTTCCAAACACGGAAGTTACACATACAGACACGGATGATGTGTAAACACACATTCATGTGGCCAGTTTACCAGGTGCGTTTTTTCTTACGTGCTTTTCACAGGTAGGGCTTTAAACCATCTGGAATCTATTTTTATTCTAGTACCAAGAGATGTAATTTCATTTCCTCCCATAGAGCTAGCCACTCGTCCTGCCCCGGCTGTTGAGGTTTTTTCTGCCCTCAACGGGCTCCAGTGCCTGGTCCCAGATCAAAGGGCCACGTATACGTGGGCCAACGTGCTTTTCTGTTTGGTTGGTGTTTTTGACAGAATCCCGTCATTCAATTTTCCCTTTGTTTTTCTCAACAGTGAGTATGATATCTATGGGTTTAGGACCGTCCCAGAGGATGATGAGGAGGAGAGGCTGGTGGCCAAGGTCCGAGCGCTGGACCTGAAGACCCTGTACCTCACGGAAAACCAGGAGGTGTCCACCGGTGTCAAGTGGGAAAACTACTTTGCGAGCACTATGAACAGGGAGATGGCGTGCTCCCCGGAGCTGAAGAACCTGATCCGGGCGGGCATCCCGCACGAACACCGCTCCAAGGTGTGGAAATGGTGCGTGGACCTCCATACCAGGAAGTTCAAGGACAGCACCGAGCCCGGGTACTTCCAGACGCTGCTCCAGAAGGCGCTGGAGAAACAGAACCCGGCCTCCAAGCAGATCGAGCTGGACCTGCTGCGGACTCTGCCCACCAACAAGCATTACTCCTGCCCCACCTCAGAGGGCATCCAGAAGCTCCGCAACGTCCTGCTGGCCTTCTCCTGGAGGAACCCGGATATTGGCTACTGCCAGGGTCTGAACAGGTGGGTCTGAGCAGGTGGGTGCCCGGCCTGACCGTCCCCTCCACTCCTGCCTAGCTGAGGAAGGCCAGCATCGTTGGGCAGGGTTGCCGTCAGCTAGGCTCAATTATGTGACATCCCCAGTTCTGGAGTAATTGAGACAAACAAACATGCTTTCAGAAAGTATGAAGAACACCAAATGGGCGCCTGGCTGGCTTTTGGTGGAGCGTGTGACTGTTGATCTTGGGGTTGTGATTTCAAGCCCCACGTTGAGTATAGAGACTACTTAAAAGTAAAATCTTTAAAAACACCACCACCACCATGAAACATTATCTGAAACATCTAGGTTTTCTCATTTTGATTTCTTACTACTCTTTGTCACGCTCCGGTTTTGACCAGAAGTTTGATTCCATTATAATTATAACTTTATATAATTTTGTGTTTATAACACACGAGGTGGACAGTGGTGGCCGCTCCTTGTTTATACCGGATCTTTGGGAATCAGGGAGCTGCCCCACCCGGGTCTTCAGCTGGCCGAAATCGGGCCCTTTTGGACCAGAGTCTTTCTGCGGGTGTCCCGAGCGCTTCCATAGACAGGGGACACTGGACAGCCTGGCACCTCGTTTGTGATGACCCAGGCTCCTCATTCGGAGCCGGGCCGAGGGGGGACGAGGCCCCAGGAGGCCCTGGGGTCTGTGCGGCACAGACTGCACGGGGCTGTTTTGTGCCACGTGTCCGGCCCACGCACCTCCTGCTCATGCTGGTGTTGCACGTGTCCGCTGGAGCGTGGGCCACCAGGCTGTTAGAGGTTCGGACAAAGAAGGAAGAAGCTCTGTGCACACTCTTTAGGGATTTTCCCAGGAGCCCAAGTGCTTGCCTTGAGTTTTGAATGCTGAGGTTTATTCTGGCGCCTCAGAGGCCTTTTAAATTCTCCTCCACCAGCTAGTGACCTCCAGGAAGGGCCGTCTGTTTGCATCTGAGATGCGTGTTGCAGGAAGGAAGGGTTTCGGGTGGAATGTCCAAACCAAGCTTCTGGGAAGTCACCCTGCCTCCGTGGTGCTGAGGTTGGGGCAGCCCCTCTGAGCCCCGGAAGTGAGAGGGATTTTGGCTGCCCCTCCATGGCCCCCATTAAAAAAACAAAAAGCAAGCCTGTGAATAGGATGCTGCCGAATGAAGCAGTCTTGTTTTGCTTAAATCCACAATTCACACTGAATACTCAGTCTAAAAATTTCCAGAAGCTGAACACCTCTAAAGCCCAAAAGATCCGGCGGGGACCTGTGCATGCCTGTTTGGGGGGACACTAGCACCCTGTTTATCTGGCATGGTCACAGAACCCGTTCTTCCCCACAAAAGTAAGACTTCCAGAAAATGAAAGCTTTCCACCTGCATCCCCATCCCCTTTAGGGCCTCTTATTTTTAACCATTTTGCTGGATTTATTTTTTTCCAAATATTTTATGCGTGTGTCCTGAGAAGTCAGAACTTTGGTAGAAGAGTGTTAGCCTTTTCTGAGTGACTCGAGCCCGTCCTGCGGGATCCCGCTGGTTTTGGACGCTTGGCCCCGTGTCCTGGCTCCGTGGGTTCTGTGGCTTTGCTTTCTCTCCCGTTGTCCCTGCTGGGGCCACCTTCCTGCTGACCACGCAGTCAGGCCTGCTGGAGGCATCCCTCCCCACCTACCCCATGCCCCTCCTTTTAGCCTTTTAGTTTGAGATGCGTCCATTATAATTTTATCTAAGGAAGCAAAAGGCCAAAAACAGCCTCCAAGAATCAGTTTTCGGGTTTTCCGTGACGCATAGCAGCTCCTTGTCTGAAAGGAACCTCTTGGATTCCAGATGCCAAGAGAGGGGCTCCTCTCTGGCCGCGTTGTGTCCAGACCCTTCCTGGATGCCTACGGGGAGCCAAGCCTGGGATCCCGGGACAGGTCACCTCTTGAATGGTGACGCCGTCTTGGCCGGGCCCGGGTTTCCGTTATGAACACCCAAACAGTGGAAGCCACACCTCCTTCCCCCCACATGCCCGCTGCAGAGAGGGTTCCTCCCGAGAGCCCCTCAGAGCGGTTGTTTGTAAACCATCTTTATTCTTCGTGTGTTACACTCACCCCTGGGTTTTTTGTGCTTGGAAGGATTAGCTGCATTAACTACACCTTTTTTTTTTTTCTCTTTAACAAGGTTGATTGATCATTGGGAAGGAATTTCATCACCTTTTAAGAAAAACTAAATGAAAAGGTTGGGGGGAATAGTAGCTTTGCTTCTTGAACTTGAGAAAATGCCTCCCTTGGGGCTCCCAGCTGGCTCAGTCGGTAGAACGTGCAACTCTTGATCTTGGGGTTGTGAGTTCGAGCCCCACATTGGGTGTGGAGACTACTAAAAAAAAAAAAAAGAAAAGAAAGAAAGGAAGGAAGATGGCTCACTTGCCTAGGAACACTTACCTGTCATTTATCGGGGACTGGAGAAGTTGTGGCTGTGAGAACTGAGGGCACGCCGCGGTGCCACTGTCCAGACCGGCCGCGTGGCCTGGGTCGCAGGCTGCAGGGTGCTGGTGCTCACCTTGCTGTCATTTGCTTGCAGGTTGGTGGCAGTGGCCCTTCTGTACCTGGAGCAGGAAGATGCTTTCTGGTGCCTCGTTACCATAGTGGAGGTGTTCATGCCGCGAGACTATTACACAAAGACGCTGCTGGGGTCCCAGGTACGTGTAGACATACTGCGCCTCAGTCAGCAACGTGGAGAGTTTGAGCTGAGACAGGACTGAACTAAGCCTTGGCTGGGTGGTGGGGGGGGGTTCCTGCTCACGGCTTCAGCCACTGACCCCTGCGGTGGGTGCAAAAGGCAGGGCATGCCGCGGACCCTGGGCCAGGCTGAGCGTGAGCCAGCGGGGCGGGCTGGCGGTTACACACCCTGAGGAGTGGACCAGCCCCATAGCCCTGCTGTTCATGGTGGCTGTTCTGCTGTCCACCCCCCCCGGGCTCCACTGTCCCCCCCCTCCCCGGGCTCTGCTGTCCCCCCCTGGGCTCCGCTGTCCCTCCCTCCCCGGGCTCCGCTGTTCCCACTCCCAGGGTCCATTGGCCCCACCCCCCCCGCCCCC